ATCTACGCTCTCATAACTCCACAAAGACCAGGGCAGTCGTGCTTCAGGGAAATGGGCAGAAGGGGCTACTGACAAGGAAGTCAGATCCTTTAAGGTCCTGGTTCACTGAAGCAACAATCCCATTTCCAAGATGCTGGAACATTGACGACCACAGGACAGTCCTTACCTGTGTCCACCCAAGCTGACGTCCTGACCGCAGCACACGGCCACAACCACATACGTATGTAAGAAACACAGAGGCCATTCTTGCATCTGCGGTGCTGCCACAGCTCCCCAGGGTTCTCCCAGGCACGGAGGGCATCGTCCACAACCCGCAAGTGAGAGCAAAGGCTGGACCGGGAACGCCTCTGAGCCCTCAGACTCGCATCCCCCGATGCCCTCGTCTCTCCTCTCTGGCTTCACCTTCAGTTCAGCACACAGGAGCCGTCAATGTTGTGAAAGGCTCTGTGGTGTCATTTCTGCCTCAGGGAGTTACAGGTTACAGGGAAGACAGACACACAGAGGGATGCACATGGATCTCCTAAGCCAGGCAGCCTGGGGTCCAGTCTCAGCCTTGCTACTTACTATGGGGCTCTGGCCACAACAACTTCCCTGAACCTCCATCTCATTTAGGGAGCACTGAAAGTTAACTTGCTCCACAGCTACAACCATCCTCACCTAAACCACAGAACACGGAGGACACCTTGCACAAATGCTTCCTCCCTTCTCCCCAGGATGGTACCTGATAACCCATCTCATCCCAGCAGGAAGGGGTGAAGCTGTCACACAGGATGCCTGCCTCAGGGCATCAGGGTTGCATTTTGTCACGACAGGCTGATGTGGAGGACGTGGGCGTCACAACTCAACAATATCTTGTAGGTCTCCTGGGGGAGCCAGAAGAGGCATTAAACAGGGAAGGAGCAGAGGCAGCAGCAAGGGAGCTTCGTGGAGTCCAGAGAAGGGTGTGGGCACAGTAGAGGCCAAGAGAGAAACGGCAACCGACTCCACGCTCTGCCTTCACTGCTGTTTCATTTGCTATGCAAAGATGAAGAAAATCAGGCAAGCCCTCTGTGCCAATGCACTTCTCTCCATGAATGCAAAATACAATTAAACATTCCAGTACCGATTTTCAAATTGCCATGTATTCTATGGTTTCCCTCTAGGAAGCCATGTACCTTTGGTGTTCCTTCCTGGTGTTTCAGAAGTAATAGTTCTTTCTAAAACATTTGAATGTATACTACTGCGATGTTACAATCCCATTTATGCTATTACATGTCTCATAGGCAAACTTTTTTTTAAATGTTTAGCTTTCAGACAGAAAAAAAGGAAAGCACTGATGAGTTCCCCTTCTAAGTGAATCCTTCCAACGTCTCTTAGCTCAGGGGAAAGAAAGGAGAAAGAAGCTTTGTTGCCTTCAGCAGCAAATAGAGAGGTCAACCCACCAAGCTCTAAGGCCAGGCATCAAGCCCTGAACCATAGAGGCCTTAGAGCCAACTCTGTCCTGCTGCTTTCCCTTCAATATGTCATTTTATTTCCCTGGACCACGGTTTCCTTATCTGTAGACTGTAAGGTCCCTTTCAGCTATCAAGGTGCATGCTCTGCCTCAGTATCTGTAAAGTAGAAAAAACACTTGCCTCCAACTCTTAGGAAGGCAAAGACTAACAAATGTTTTGACAAGACTTTAAGATTACATAATGAAATGAATATAAATAAGACTCATACAGTCAAACAGCTAACAGAGACCACAAAGATGTGCCCAGCTCAAGTGAAATGGAACATGCGATGCACAGGAGGAGACAGCTGGCAGTGGTCTTTTTTGTTTTTTAATTCAGCTTTTTTAGAGACAGAATCTCATTCTGTTACCAAGGCTGGAGTGCAGTGGCAAAATTATAGATGGCTCACTGCAGTCTCAACCTCCCAGGCTCAAGTGATCCTCTCACCTCTGTCTCCTGAGTACTTGAGACTACAGGTGTGTATGCCATCACACCCAGTTGATTTTTTATTTTTCAGAGAGACGGTCTTGCTACGTTGCCAAAGCTGATCTCGAACTCCTGGGCTCAAGCAATCCTTCCACCTCGGCCTCCCAAAGTGCTAGGATTATAGGCATGAGCCACTGTGCCCGGCTGGGTAATTTTTATGCATCTTTTTTTTTTTTTTTTTTTTGAGACAGAGTTTCGCTCTTGTTACCCAGGCTGGAGTGCAATGGCGCGATCTCGGCTCACCGCAACCTCCGCCTTCTGGGTTCAGGCAATTCTCCTGCCTCAGCCTCCTGAGTAGCTGGGATTACAGGCACATGCCACCATGCCCAGCTAATTTTTTGTATTTTTAGTAGAGACAGGGTTTCACTATGTTGACCGGGATGGTCTCGATCTCTTGACCTCGTGATCCACCTGCCTCGGCCTCCCAAAGTGCTGGGATTACAGGCTTGAGCCACCGCGCCCGGCCATGCCACTTTCTTTAGGACTTCCTGTGGCTAAGAGGGAAAGCAGGCTGACAACGTGGATGAGCTGACAGCCCAGGCGCGGGCCCAGGCTTTCTGAAGGATCAGGCATTAGGTTTTCTCCACGCACTGTCCTACAGGTATAGAATGTGTGTCCTCCACTGGTGTACATTGCAGACTAAATAAAACATGTCAAATAACGACCTCCTTTCCAAAGCTGAACTGTAGGCATGCCTGAGTTGAAGAGGTCACACGGCAGAGAAGCGCCACTGTCCGGTGAGAAGAGGGCCTCCACTGCTAGGCAGGGGCAAGAAGGCACGCCGGTTACCTCCTCCGAGCCTCCCTTTTCTCATCTGCCAAACGGATCAGTAGTAGATCCTACATTACAGGGACGTGCGGAGGATTTTAAATGAGTACTGACCCACCTAAAGCCCTCGGAACAGTGCTTGGCACACATCCAGAGTTCGGTAAATGCTCCCTATTATCAATATTCACATTATTCAAGAACTATACAGAGGATAAGACTTCAGTAAGAAAACAATCCGGCAGAAGCAGTGGGGAGCTTCAGAGGGGAGGGTCCTGAAATCGAGTCCCGCCGCAGAAATGCAGCTGCTGTTCCTCGCCTGACACTTGGAGACATTCGGAGAAAAAGCCATCAGCAAGGTGACAGAGGGCAGACTTGAAGGAGCACAAGGAACCCAGGGATGCTGATGGAGCATGGAAAACCGCAGCAGAAGGCACCGAGGCAAGGAGTGCCCTGCAGGCGGGGCAGGCTGTGGCTGGGCAGAGTGCCAGGGAGAAGTAGAGCAAAGGGAAGAAATCACCTGCGGGAGAAATATGGGGCAAGAAGGAAGAAACCCTCACGTGCACAGGAGCGCAATAAGGAAGGAGATGGGAGAACTGGCTGGAGGCAGATGGCAGACGTGAGGGCCAAGGGCAGACGTCCCCAAACTACGGCCCGCATGCGGCCCCCTGAGGCCATTTATCCGGCCCCCCACCGCACTTCAGGAAGGGGCACCTCTTTCATTGGTGGTCAGTGAGAGGAGCACAGTATGTGGCGGCCCTCCAACGGTCTGAGGGACAGTGAACTGGCCCCCTGTGTAAAAAGTTTGGGGACGCCTGCTATAAAGGATGGGAGGGGGCAGGGAACAGGGAGGGTGCATGACTAACAGGCATGAGAATAATGCAGTGAGGCAGTTTGCAAGACAGTGGAGAGGGTCATAAAAAAAAAAAAGAGGGAGCCGGGCGCGGTGGCTCAAGCCTGTAATCCCAGCACTTTGGGAGGCCGAGGCGGGTGGATCACGAGGTCGAGAGATCGAGACCATCCTGGTCAACATGGTGAAACCCCGTCTCTACTAAAAATACAAAAAATTAGCTGGGCATGGTGGCGCGTGCCTGTAATCCCAGCTACTCAGGAGGCTGAGGCAGGAGAATTGCCTGAACCCAGGAGGCGGAGGTTGCGGTGAGCCGAGATCGTGCCATTGCACTCCAGCCTGGGTAACAAGAGCGAAACTCCGTCTCAAAAAAAAAAAAAAAAAAAGAGGGACTTTGTCGAGAAAGATTGGGGGGGGAAGAAGTAAGATTTCTGCGCCTGTTAGGAAAGGGAATAAAGGACAGCAAATCGCGGGGAGACCGGGAGGGGTTCACAGGGAAGAAAACGAGAGGCAGAAAAAGACGACGACGGGTACAGAGAAAACCCTCGAGGGGGAGCTGTATAACATACGGCTATGGGAAGACTTGGGAGTAAGGGCTGAGTACATTCACAGTAGTATTCTATTTATCCACATCCCTATGCAATGCTGGGAAGCAAGTGACCCACAGGGTTTGTTTGCTTCACTTGGTTTGGTTTTCCTGCCCTTGGAGGGAGGGGAAATTTGCTCAAGCTCTGTAACCTTGCAGTCAGATGAGTGGCCCAGCCCAGGTCACCCGAGCTCCCCCTGACGCTGGCAGCAGCCTGGGCTTCCACCTGCCCTGGGCGGGAGTACCAATTCCCCTATCTCCTTCACAGAATGGGACCAAACCGACTCCGCGAATGCATTCCCTCCAGTCCACAGACAACAGGCACCGGGTCCCCAAATCCTTTCCCTGGAATGAGACTCCGCTGGGGCCTAGAGAAACTTGCTTTCTAAACTAAGCTCTCCAACCGCATCACTCCCGGGTCTCCCGGAGGTACCGGCCAAGCCGCCCGAAGAAGCAGAGCGACCCCCGGCTATGCCGCGCCAGGCTACCCAGCCACCGCCGCCCCCGGAGGCCAGGCCCCGCGAGCTAGGAGCGCGAGGTGAACTTACAGGACGACCTCCCTACAGGATGGAAACGGCCTTTTGCGAGAACACCATGTGCACGTCCTCCGGGAGGTAGTGCCGGGTGGCACAGAGGGCGCAGAGCCGCTGCCGGGCTGGGGGCGGGAGCAGGGACCCAACAGGTGAGCAGCCCGGCAGGCTCCGACGGCGGGGGAAGGAGCTGGGAGCTGGATATCCCCAAGCCCGAAGCAGTCCACTGGGGGCTCAAGTCCTCCCGCGATTCTAAATTAACACCCCGCGCCCGCGCCGCCCAGCAGAGCCGCGGCCCGACGCTGTCCTACCTCCCACGGCGCCTCTCGGCGGAGCCTCCAAAGTCAGCGCGTCCAGCACGTCCCGGCCTTCACAGCCGGCTCCGGGGCCGGCGGCGCGCCGAGGCTGCCGCGCTCCCGGTGCCCGGGCTCCAGTGTGCTCGCTCGGAGCTGGCGGCCGCGGGAGAAAGCGCGGCACAGACTCTGCTCCCGCGCCTGGCCACACACTCCGCCAGGCCACGCCCCGTCCCCGACCCCCAAGGCCACGCCTCATCCAGGGTCCCCCCCCGGCCACGCCCCCATCCCGGCGCTTCCTCCGCTCAAGCCACGCCCCGTCTAGCTCATTCCCGCAGGCCCAGCCCTGGGACCAGCCCACAGGCACCACCCACAGAAACCCGTCAAAAACAGCTCCCCGGCTGGGGGCGGAGTCTCACTCTCGTAATCCCAGCACTTTGGAAGACCGAAGCGGGCGATCACCTGACGTCAGGAGTTTGAGACCAGCCTGGCCAATATGGTGAAACCCCCTCTCTACTGAAAATACAAAAATTAGCCCGGCGTGGTGGCAAGTGCCTGTAATCCCAGCTGCTTAGGAAGCTGAGGCAGGAGAATCGCTTGAACCCGGGAGGCGGAGGTTGCAGCGAGCCGACAATGCGCCACTGCACTCCAGCCTGGGCGACAGAGCCAGACTCCGTTTTAAACAAACAAAAACCGTTCCCCACAGCCACCAGCCAGCCCACACTCCTAAGGGCGGGAGGAGTCGTCTCATCGCCCGGGCAACCGCGCCCCACTGCCCATTCACCTCACCTCTGCCTGGGCCAGGAGTTCACTCCTTGTGAAAGGAAAACGCAGGGTAAGGATTTTTAAACCTACCCACTTCTAGACTGTTTCAGTAAACCAACTTAAAGAGCTATCACCTTGCTTGTGAGGCTCAAGGCCTAATCATTAATTGACACGAAAACCACACAGGAGAAATGAACCCTGTGCTGGGATCCGTGCCTCAGTGCTCCATGTTCCCTGATAGGCAGCTAATGGAATTCATAAAATAAATGCATGCTTTCTAAAAAAAATACAGTATTTTACATGATTCATTGAGTGGCCAGCACTATTATTTATAAATGTGTATTTTATAGTCAAAGAACAATACACACAATGTGTAAACTAAAAAACATAAAAAATTATACTACCTAATGAAAAGTTAAAGGATATTGAAAAAACTCTCTATAATACTATAATGGTGGCTTCATGTCATTACACATTTCTCAAAACTCATAGAATGTACAGCATGTGGCGTGAGTCTCCAGTAAGACTTCATCGATCTTCACGTACCAACATGGGCCCATCAATTCTAACACATATGCCACACAAATGTAAGATGTCCGTAAAGGAGCTGTTCCTGGAGGGAGGGGCATGAGAGAATGCACCAGAACTCCGTGTACTTTCCGTTCCTGTTTTCTAAACCTAAAACTGCTCTAAAAATAGTGTATTAATTAAAACACACGCCAATATTAATGATGATTATCTGTGGGTGGTGGAAATATGGGCAAATTTTATTTAATTCTTTGAATTGTTATTAAAATTACCCACAGTTTCAACAATGAGCATGTATTTTTAAAGCAGGCAAAATATAAAAACTAAACCTCAGGCCAGGCACAGTGGCTGGCGCCTATAATCCCAGCACTTTGGGAGGCCAAGGCGGGTGGATTTCAAGGTCAACTGATTGAGACTATCCTGGTCAACATGGTGAAACATGGTCTCTACTAAAAATACAAAAAGTAGCCGGGCATGGTGGTGCATGCCTGTACTCCCAGTTACTCAAGAAGCTGAGGAAGGAGAATCGCTTCAACGGTGGGGGCAGGGGCGGAGGCTGCAGATTGTGCCACTGCATTCCAGCCTGGCGACAGAGCAAGATTCTGTCTCAAAAAAAAAAAACAAAAAAACCCAAACCTTGGAAAATTTCAGAAACATAGTATGAGGGGCTAATATCATTGACTCTTCCATTTTATTTCTACTTTATAAAAAATCTGCATGAAGCCCTCACAAATGCTAAAATGAAATCTATGAATGTGCTTTCCCTTAGTATACTATCATGGTCTAAACTGAGGAGTGTTTATTATCTTTAGAATTAGCACGAATCTGAGAAGCAGATTTTAATTTTTCTTAAAAAAATTGTTTCAAAAGGTTATTTATAACTGCCTACTTGGAAACCACTCAATACTTACATGCAATACTTTTTATAGTGAAGAAAACACTATATTTAAAACCACATCCTTCAGAAGAAACAGCTGGCCCTCAGATGAATGGATTTCTGTGGAGTCATAACAATTGGGCCTGAAGACCCCCCACGTCCTTGAGACCCTATACAATCCCTGGGCAAGCACTAGACCTTGGTGAGTCTCAGCTTCCTCATCAGTGAGCTGGTGACAGTGGCAGCTTGCTCAGCACTGGATGGAGAATAAAAAACAGCCCATGTAAGACTCTTGGTATCAACTTAGCACATACAGGTGATGCTCAGTGTTAGTTCCTGTCTTTTAAAAAACATTTTTTCAGGGTTTCAGTGAAAATCTTTTGAGTGCCTGGGATAAAAGATACATCTGGATTCGGATTATATATCTATCAGAGGAAGGCAGGATGGCTAAAGAGAAAAATCACTGCTCTGACACGGAGAGGCAGGGCACTCTAACCCGGCTCTAACGAGCTGTGTGCATCTCAGGGGTAAATGACCAACCGACACTCACTCTCACTTTTCCAGTCTGTTAAGTGAGAGATCAGGACTACCAAGAGCTAAATTTCCTTCTGTTTCTATCACTCCATTGGGAATCACAATGTGGCCCCCGAGTGTAAAAGCCTAGGTCTCCCGCAGTGGCTTTCTGTCCACATGGTTCCCTGGCTACATGGCCGCCATCACTCACGGCCTCGCAGACAAGGCCGGCAGCTGCATTCTGTTGTTCCCTGCAAGTGGGAACCTACGAGGGTCGCTGACCTTTCTTCTTGTCTGCTGATCTTTTGGTACTCAAGACTCAAACTGAAATTTGACCCAAGTTCATCCTAACAACACTAATGCTTTCTGCAGGAGAGTGTCCAGGGATAGAAACTACCACCTCTCAGTAAGTCTAAGGCACTTTTTTTTCCCCACGTAACATCTCCAAAATTAGAATTTGCTTTCCCCTTAATTGTTGAGACTTATGCCATGCTGTTTACATTCATTTTTTTCTTAAATCCTCAAAACAATCCTTGACAGTTACCCTTCTCATTGTATATATGGGGAAAATGAAGTTCAGAGAGGTTGAACGAATCATCTGAGGTCACACAGCTGGTGAGCAGTGGAGTCAGGATTTGCTCTCATGTTCCTGTTTTTAAATATTCCGAACAAAGCAGTGCTGTGAGTTCCGCCAGGGCTGGGGAGAAGCAATGCTGTATTCCACCTGCTGAAAGTTCCATTGAGCAGGAGTTTCTCAGGAAGGACAAGGCAGAAAGGAAACTCTCCTCATTTTGGTTTTTTTCTTTGAGGAGCTTCGACAAAGCCCGCATGGCTTCTGTCCCACCCTCTACTGCAGAAAAAGTAGTTACCTGATTGGTTGGAGAAATCCATTGGTAGACTCCCTGACAGACTAACCCAATGCATTCATTTATTAACAGGACGGAGGATTCACTCTTTGTCAACCTTTCCACTCAGACTACAGCTGGGAGCAATCTGGGGTCAGTGTCTGGATGCCACAGACCAGACTTTCCCCCGGAAGGAGTAACTTAAGGTCTAGACCTGGTAGGGACAGAGGCGAAGGAGCTGGGAGGTCACTCATCAGCAACCACTGTGCACACATTGTGCAGTTGATTTTGTCGGTAATATCACTGACAATTTTACTTTCACCCAGCAGCCTCCAGCATCTCATTGGTTGTGAAGCTGGCAGGGGATGAAAGGGTGCTATCTGAACCACAGATGCCTCTGACACATAAGGCAAGACCCGAGAGAGCAGGGAGAACCTGAGCCTCTTCTGTTCTCTGTCTCTGTGAGTTCTAGAAAAACTTCGTAACCTCACTATGACAGGCTCCTTAGCTGTGATATGGTGAAAATTAAGTGTGATAATGTATGTAAAGTCTCAGTTCACTGGCTGGCACGTGCTCAAATGCTCAATAATTGGTGGCTGTCATTACTGATTAGAATGGATAAAGTGCGTTTGCTAGCTATATTTTATTCTACAGTTTACGAGAGCAGACTTCTAATTTGCAACTTTCCAGGATGACAGAATAATGTTTGGCATTTATCACATTATCTTAGCACATAATTATCTATTTGGCTGTAGTGTGTGTGGGGGGGAACCTAATTAATTTAGGCAGAGAGAGGAAAACATTTTGCCTCCAGGAATGGGTCACCAGGCCATAGGAATCGAGTGCCAAAGGGATGGGTCAGGAGCCAGGTCCAGCAAGCCGTCTGCAGTGCCTCCCTGCCTGCTTCGAGACAGGGACCCCTCACACTTGGGTTTGGAGGGAGAGAATGCAAATGGGCAGGGCAGCCACAGGCAAGAGAGGAGAATGAGCGGTCTCACGCTGTCCCCACAGTTGCTGTGGACCACAGGTATGGCAATTCCTCAAAAACCAAAAAACTGGAATTACCATATCATCCAGCAATCCCTCTTCTGGGATATATCCAAAAGAATTGAAAGCAGCGATTTGAACAGGTATCTGTATACCCACTTTCATAGTAGCAGTATTCACACAGCCACAAGGTGACAGCAACCCAAGTGTTCATCAATGGATGGATAAACAAGATGTAGTAAATACGTACAATGGAATATCACTCAGCCTTAAAGAGGAACACAATTCAGACACATGCTGCAACACAGGTGGACCCTGAGGACATTATGTTAAATGTATAAGGCCGTCACAAAAGGACAAAAACTGTATGATTTCACTTATATGAGGTACCTAGAGCAGGCAAATTTACAGAGACATAAAGTAGAATGGTGGTTGCCAGAGGCTGTGGTGGGAAAGTGGGGCGTTACTGCTTAAAGGGGACCCAATTTCAGTTTTGCAAGATGAGAACTGTTCTGTGGTGATGGTGACAGCTGCTTAACAATATGAATGTACTTCATCTATTGAATTGCACACCTAAAATTGTTAAGATGGTAAGTCTTCCGTGTCTGTTACCAGTTTTAAAAAAATGTCCCACTTCCTAATCCGCAGGCCAGAAGTTGCACAAAGCCATTGGGATTTTGTGGTAAGGAGCCGTCTCTGCCACTGACTAAC